AATCCAGGAAAGATAAACCCCTCAGGACCAATAATGAGAGTAGTGATACCAGGAGGGGAAGGGGAAAGTGGGAGGAAAAAGGGGGAACTGATCACAATGATCTACATATAACCCCTTCCCAGGGAGACGGATAACAGAAAAGTGGGTGAAGGGAGACATCGGTTACTATAAGATATGGAAAAAAGTTGATAAATTATCAAAGGTTCATGAGGGAGGGAGGGAGCAGAAAAAGAAGGAGTAGTCAAGGGCTCATGTAGAAAGAAAATGTTTTGAAAAGATGATGGCAACAAATGTATAAATGTGTTTGACCCAGTGGGTGGATGTATGGATTGTGATAAGACCTGTACAAGCTCCCAATAAAATGATTTTTTAAAAGAAGAGTTAAGCTGCTAACAGCAGTCAGCAGTTTGAAATCCCTCCGTAGGAGAAAGATGAGGCTTTCTGCTCCTGTAAAGACCGACAGCCTCAGAAACCCACTGCTGCAATTTTATTCTGTTCTGTTTATTTTATTCTAGAGTCCCTGTGAGTTGGAATCGACTCAGAGCCTAAACAACAACAACAACAGCAACAGCAACAACAAACAACTCGCTGTCATCAAGTCCATGACATCTCTTCATGACCCCCTAGGACAGTGGTTCTCAACCTTTCTAATACCACAACCCGTTAGTACAGCTCCTCATGTTTGGTGAGATTCCCCCCTCCAACCATAAAATTATTTTCATTGCTACTTCATCACGTTAATTTTGCTACGCTTATTAATCGGACGACCACTGTGAAACGGTCGTTCGAACGCCAAAGGGGTCACGACCCACAGGTTGAGAACCGCTGCTATGGAACAAGGTAGAACTGCCCCTGTGGGTTTCTGAGACTGTAACCCTTTGCAAGAGTTTAAAGCTCAGTGTTTCTCCCTCAGAGCAGCTAATGGTGAGAAAAGTTGGAACGTGTACTTAGAACCCCAATGCACAACTCTTACACCAGGGGGCTTCTTGGATTCCATTCCAGTGAGTTTTAACGTCTTAAAAGTAGTGCTTCTTTGAATTAAAAAAAAAGATAATACTACGTTTTATCGAATACCCATATAATTCTTTTTTAAAAACTAGACAGGTTTTCTTTAATGCTCATTAATAAATGTAGAAAGAATAATGGAATTAGAAAGCCATTACTTGGCAACCATCATTGTAACAATTAATCACGCCAAAAGCCATTCTGGATTCTGAAACTAGTGGGTGAAAGAAGTGCGGGAAGGAAGCCTTCCCCCACAAAATACTTAATAATTACACAGTGAAAAAGAATAACTCTATTATTGGGAAACCTGGGAGATACCACCTTAATCAAGGAATCAAAGTTGATATCTCACCAATAATGGGAAAGGTACCCATGTTTGGCAAATGATTTGCACTCAGCTGGTGATCAAAAGGGTACTGGTACAAGCCCACTTGGTGGCACCGTGAAGAAACAAGCTTGATGGGGTCCTTTTATAGAGATTACATCTAAGGACACCTTATGGAACAATTATACTCTGTAACAGGTGGGGTGAGTTAGTTAATTGTGCCAGCCTGGCCGATAATCACATATGGGGCTCATTGAAAGGCCGAGGGATAAATGGGTGGTGAGCCTCGCCTTTCTAGTTCTCGGGTCTCTTATTTTGTGATGGTTGCACCGGGTGCAGCTGCCTTAGCAGTTCCCTGCTTCAGCTTGCAAGATTGACTTCCTACAAGA